CAAACGACTGATTACAACCCTGTGCTGGTACCGAACTCGTACCAAGAAGGCGAATTCACCAATGAACGTTGCCCTTTCCATCTGACACTGGGCGATCACGTGAACATCACGCTTCAGTTTTGTTTTACTCTATCTTGGATTTGGATAGACTTTAGTAATGATCCATCGAATTATAACTGCCGTGCATGATTTCATTTTATTTTTTTTTGTCTAAACTTTGTTTTATATTTCAAAAGCGTTGAATTATATATTTGAACTAATTTAAATTATTTTTGACGTATGTTAGCATGATATCATAATCATAAGATATCAAGAAAGTTTTCTATTTGAGTGGACAAAATTTTTGCTACAATAAAAATTAAATTCTCTACTAAGGTTCAGACTCCATACTTTCAAGAGTCTTGTCTTGTGTTAAAGCTAATTCAAGTAGTCTTTAACTGTTTACACCAAAAATTATACTCCATTAGGGTCAATGGATCTTTATACGGGTGCAATGCTGATACTAAATTTAAATTCACCCATCAGAAATGTAAGGGCATGGAAAATCAGTGATGAAAATTTAACTTTATTTCATGAAAGTGCCACTTTTCCACGCGGCTGGCGCCCCAGTTGGAAAAAATATAGCCTTACAGAGAAACGGTGATGAAATGGTAATTTTCATATGTAAACGCGCCCCTTTTATACCCGGAGGGGCTTCACAGTTGGAATAGTTAAAAATCCTTTCTTATTGCATATCTAAAATACGAGTATAAAACGAACCTACATACAAAATTTCAGTCTCCGAAAATATAGCGGTACGGAGAAAGAAAGATGAAAAAGTAATTTTGATATGTAAATACCTCCCTTTTACCCCTACGAGGGGTGTCCAAGTTGGAATATTTAAAAATCATTTCTTACTTGGCATCTAAACCTAAAAAGCACCTATATACCAAATTTTAGCTTCCTAGGACTCACCAGTACGGAGAAAAAGATGAATGAATGATAAGTGACCTTCGCATTTCATATTCCATTTCACAATTTCGATATCTGGCATTTTAAATATTTTATTATGCTGAATATTAAACAGATGAGTCATTTATTTATGGAATTGCCTATTTTTCCACAAAATAATCAACAAATTTACACATGTAATGTAACAATACTCATATAACTATCAGCTAGATGTAAGAAAAAAATATTTAAAAAAATAAAGGCGAAAATAAGCCAATCGATTACAATCTTTCCACAGTCTTTTGAAATAATTTAAAAGAAGAATTAAAAAGCTCTCAATCTAATGTGGCTGAAGTTAGCTTTAGATTTAAATCCGATTCTTTCGATTTTACAGTTGACTGTCTCAACATCTGAGAAGTTGCCGACGACTTGCGTTGGAATAGCATCTTCTATGTACCAAATGTAAGCTATTATCAGAAATAAGAGCTCTCACTGATTAAGTGCGAATGATAACTATTTTGTCTCTATTTTCAGTGGCAGATAAAAAGGATGTGGTTTATCAAGTAAATGACGCATGTGTAATCACTTTGTTTTCTATGTACTGTGAAAATCAAAAAACTAAAATTATCACTAAAAAAAAGTGACAAAATTTTTTAAATTTGGAAAACTTGATAGGTGAAAAGTAACTTTGAAGAAGACAGTTTTAAAATATGTTGTCATTTGATAAAAAGTGAAGTTATCAATTCATTATTTTTTGTTTTAGATTATGAAAGTAAAAAAGGTTGGAGTTTGGCCGGTTGGTCTAGTGGCGGGTTGGACTGTGGAAACTCCAATAGTAGATCATGTAACAGGTAAGTGTGAATCCATTTTTTTTAGACTAGACAATCTAGACATGATTTTTGGAAAATTTCATAATAAATGCAAAAGTTTTGAAACAATAGTGAAAAACCAAATGTAAAAGAACAATCAAATAACGAATGATTTTGTAACCCTTTTTTTCAAAAAGAAGGTTTTGAAAATCGAGATGAAATGATTTGTTGCATTGATAACAAAAAAATAAATAGATTTCTATAAGAAACAGATAATTCGTAGATTATATCATCTCCTATGAATTTTGTTTGAAAAATTTTTATTCATGATTTTACAAAAGCTAACCTACCTAACCAACCATTTTCAGAAAAGTGACCCTAAATGCACAGGTGAAAAAATTCCTGTATGGTTCGCACAAGATCAGTTTATTTTAATATTGAAAGGAGTCATTTAATTTTTTCATGCCTTATAAATCAGTCAAGTTCATGGAATGGTAAACTTTAGATCAACCCCCTATTGTAGAATTAGGGTCCAAGGTCTTATGTTTACTTTACCTATATTTACCGTCCCTTAAACCAACTAATTTGTATGCCATGTCAACTAAATGACCATTTTTGACATAAAAATAAAATTTCAGGGAGTACATGAATTTATAGGTTACTTTTCCAAAATGAAAATTTGTCCTGTTTTCCTGTCCAATTTTTTTATAAGGCATTTGATTGGAAAAGATTCCAATCATAATAAGTATCTAAGTTAATGAAAACTGTACAAAAACTTTTTGGCAAATTATCCCTCCTCCGGAATTTGGGTTATTGTTTTCACTATTCCAAGGTTTTCTCTGCAACTGTAACCATATGGATAAAACTTATTGGTAATTTGCAGAACTTTTAAAAAATTAAATCCCAATATAGAGCATTAAAACGGGTTCTGCAACTGGAACAATATTCGAGTTATTATAAACTTCAGCAAAATTTTATAATTAGTTTTCATTCATGCTCAAACATTTAAATTAAGTATCAAGACTTTTGGAGCTAATGTGAATTGATAGACTCTACAGGGTGTTTCCTAATTTTGAAAAAAATATAAGAGCGTGTTCAGGAACGAATTTCATGAAAAAAAGTTCACATAAACATTGGTTTTGAAATGCATTGATTCCAAGATAAAGGGTGTTGAAAGTTTATAAAAAATCCTTTTTTTTTGGTCGGATAAAGTTATCGGTTTGTTTCTTGAAAAAAAACACTTTATTGCATATGCTTTGATCACACATTAATTTTCTTATTGCTATGTAGATGATACATGAAGTAAGCAATTTTTAAATTTAGATGTATCTACAAAAACTGTTAGAAATGACCACCCGCTGCCAAAACACATGCATCAGTTCTTCTTTGGAATAACTGAAGAACATGCAAAAAGATTCTGGTTGCATTTCATATTATGTCACATCCAGTGAATATGTAATTTCTTAGACTATCCTCATCTGCCACTGAGGTAGTGTAGACTACATATTCAAAATGTCCCCAGAAGAAAAAATCTACCGGAATTTAGATATGAAGACTTTGGATATAGTTGAGTGGATATTCGGATAAAGGATATTCAAAATAATGATACAAAACATGTTTTTTTAGAGAAGTTCAGTAGCCTGTATCTTGAAAAGCATGCATGTCCTATGTTCATGTATATTTTATTTTGAATTTAAATTGAAAAAGGAATATTTTTAAGATTGATGTTTTCAGGAGAAAAAGGTTTTGTTTTCTACTTTTCCATCATTTAATTAACCCCTAGAAACACCCTTATATTTTTCTCGTATGTAGGAAACATCCTATATACCCCCACTTAGTTGTAAGATTTGTCTTATTTCAGGTAAAGTGAAAAGTTACCAAAGTGGTTGGAGACCGAACAGACCGTTTGCCATAGATATGGCGGGATTTGCCATCAACTTGGACCTGATTTTGACTAAAACAGATGCAAAATTTTCTTACAAGATGGAAAAGGGGTTCCAAGAGAGTGAATTCCTCAGTTTTTTTACAACAAAGGAGGAATTAGAACCTTTAGCTGACAATTGTACAAAGGTGTATGTTTGGCATACAAGAACTGAAAATCCCCCAATCAAGAAAGTTGTAGATGGTTTTGAAGTTTAGCAAGTGATTTATTCAATTAGAGCCCAATAGCAACAAGTCAAATCAAAATATGTATTATGTATGCATTCAAAACATCAAGTTCAGTGATATGGAATAACATTAAACATCGTTAAGGAACTGTTGATTTTTGTTAAACCTTTGCACTAGTCTTTCTCAAAGTGGGCGATAACGCCCCCTTGTGGGCGATGGAGGCCTATAGGGGGGCAGTAAAGGGCACAGAGAAGATTGGGGGGCGTTGAAGCGGTTTAGAGAGGCGTTGGCTGATTTAAAAATGTTTTTTTGCTTTTAACGCAAACTCTACCGCTCCTTTACGCTTAATGTGCGTTTCCTTGTGTAACGCCATGTAGGGGACTAGACAGTAACTATTTCCTGTCCGATAGTTGTCAAACTGTACAATAGATGGCGGTAAACTTCTATGCGAAGCAAGAAGTTTCTGGTCTCTGTTCTCGAAAGTACTAGGCTCACCGTTGCCTCATATAAAAGCGCGCGCGCTATCCAGCCAGTAATGTCATTCGACGATATTACGAAAATAAGTGAATTTAGTTAGCGACTAGCTAGGTAGTGCTTCGGAATTTTTGAAGACAAAATTATGTCGGAAGCAAAAAAGAAGAAACGGCAGTATAACGCGATATATATAAAATATGGATTTATTGAAAATCCCACAAATCTATCTTCGCCTATGTACGTACCTTCTTTGTCAAAAAACATTTTCAAATGAAGCGATGAAACCCTCAAGGCTACAACATCGTTTGAATAAAATGCATTCAGATAAAAAAGACAAAAGTGTGACTTATTTTCAAGAACAGGAAAAGAAACACTCAGCTCAGCCAACTGTGACAAAACTTTTTTCAGTGGCTTCTAAGCAAGACGACGACGGACTCCGAGCTTCCTACAATATCTTGCTAATTGCTCAAACAGGTAAACCTCACACTATTGGAGAGGATATAATTGTACCGGCAATAAAAGAAGTAATAACTACTGTGCTCCATAAACCAGCGGCATATATTATCCAAAAAATTCCATTGAGCAATAGTTCCGGGCAAAGACAAATTGATGAGATGGCTGAAAACATTGAAGTCATTGTGCAATCATCGGAAGACTTCTAAATTCTTAATTCAGTTAGATGAGTCCATTTTACCAACTAATGAAGCATTGTTGTCATACGTGAGGTTAATCAATAATGAGAAAATATATCAACAACTACTATTTGCCAGAAATTTAGAGACGGATACAAAAGGAGAAACCACACACTGGAAAAATTTTGTGATGGGAAAGAAATTCCACTGAAGAATATTATATCAGCTGCTACGGATGGAGCTCTGGCTATGACAGGACGTCACAAAGGCTTCATAGCGTACTTAAAAAATAAAATTCCAGATGTACTCGCTGTATATTGCGTCATTCAAGGGCAACATTTAGTTGCGAAAACTTTTAGTGAGCGTCTCTCTCAATCACTGCAATATATCATCAAAGCAGTCAATAAAATCCGAAACAGCTCTTTTAATGACAGATTATTTAATCAGCTTTGTGTTGCTAATGATGAAGATTTCAACCGATTGCTATTTCACAGAAGTGCGTTGGTTATCAAGACTCTATTTTACAATCTATTTGACTCTATAATAGAGTCCTTGGAAAAAAAAAGACAAAGAATTGTACAACCTCATCACTTCAAAGAATGATATTGCGAACTTGACAGACCTTTATAAATTATTTATTGATGTCAATCTCCAACTTCAAGATGACGATTTGAATTTGAAATGTCGTTGCTGCTTTTGTAGCCAAATTGCTCTTATAAAGAATAATATCGGCAGACGTGAGTTTCGCAATTTCCCTAATTTGTCAGCAGAATCCTTCAACAACGACGACTTGCTTGTTTACTGTCAACATTTGGAGAACCTGCACAGTGATTTAGCAGAACGATTCCAGGACATTTTAAAATTGGAAAAACTGGACTGGGTGTTGGATCCTTTTTCAAATATCAACACAGCAGGATCACCCCAGCTGGAAGAAGAACTCATAGAACTGATAACGAACGAGGAAATAAAAATAAAATTCAAAAATGGATACCAAGAATTTTGTAAGACAGTTTTTATTTATTATTTGCCGTTCTCTAATGCATGTTGAGTGATACTAGATTTTTCTAATATCTGTAATAGAATATGGGCTGTGTGTTCTTTGAAACTAGTTTTAATAGGTCGCTCAGTGTGACTGATATATTTTTTGTTACAGTCCCCACAGCTTATTTCATATAATGATAATTTATCAACAAGCCATTGTGGTACAATTTGTACATATGGTATGTCAACTAAGTCATAGGTACGTGTTTAAAAAAAATCAGTAAAAGCATGTGAAAGAAACTATGAAAACAAAATGAACTATAGAAAATAGTTGAAAATCTCAAGAGAGTCGGTTACCTAATCTATAAAATTAAAATGAATAGTGAATTTAAGTCAAAAGAGCCATAGTTACCGTGCTGTGTTCAATAATTTTGGGATAATGCATTGTTTCATTTTCTCACAAAATTGACTTTTCATTTTCCATCATCTCGTCTTTAGGATTACTCATCATTTTTTGAAGTGAACAAGAAATTTTAAAGGCATACTACTTTCACATTCAACTTAAGGAGAACAATGAACCTTGAATATGTCTTTTTGAAAAGTCAAATATTTACAAAGATTCTCCCTAAATTTACATTTCCTGATTACCTTACCTACTATAATTTCATAAACTACTACTTGATTTGATCTCCGCAAAATTTATTTTAAAAAATATCACATGTTTTGCTAACACGGTAGCTTTTTCGTATTGAATAACGTACTGAAAGTTCATTCTTTTCTCTAATATTTATATACCCCACGTAATCACAATTGATACTACCTACTCAGGTACTTGTAACATACTGCGTTACGTTCATTCATGGAAGTAATAAAAAAAGGGGTTTATTGTCTAATCTTGAATCCATTTTAGAAATGACCACGATATGCCATAGCTACATAGCTTATGTAGCGAGAGCTTTTGGTTAACCTTGTCAAATACCTTGGAGATATCGGTGTAGATAGAGTCTACCTAATACCCAGTCTCCAGGGCATCCAATAAGTAGTCTATGTAATTTACAAAGGTTAGTTCAATGAATTTCCTGATTATCCGTATTGCTCCTGAATCAAATCGCTTGAGAAATTTTTTTATAGATAATCTGTAATATTGCTTTCGACTAGTTTTGGAATGGTACTCAATATGGATATGGGGCGATAATTTGTATCATCAGATAAGTCACTGCTTTTATGAATTGTTATCAGATAGCCGAGTTTCTAGTTATGGAGGAAGGTTCCTATAGACATCAATTTCTAAACTCCGGTTACTTTTAATTCACTAAGACATCCAAGAATGGTAACTCCTCGTTGTTTTCAATTTCATATGAATAGGAAAAATGTACAATCATTTGCTTATGAACATAAGATCTGCTAATATAATGACTTCCAATTCAGGAAGTTAGTCAAACAATTTTTATCTGATAGACCCTATTATACTTTGGATGAATATTTTAACGATAGCTTTAACTGACTTACGCATATTTTTTATCTTTACTTATTAAGGATCTCTTAAGTTTTTTTTATGTCTACTCTTTTATAAACTTGACTTTCACTCTTTTATATACACATATCTTTTATATCCTCCATTTTAACATAGTTTGTACTCATGCACAATTTAAATTTTTATTTTAGTTGGTTGGTATTGCATTTTTTAAAGTATGTACTACCCAAGCATATTATTATTATTATCATTATTATCTTTGTTAGGTATCACACATATTAGAAAATCTCTTCAGTTTTATGTATAGAGTAGTTTATGTAGAATAAAGACTTTATTATTATATCGGTTATTCCACATTTTCAGAGCCTAATTCCATTTTTAGATATTTTTTGAACTCAAATACTTTTTATTGTGTTATTTCAAATCAATACATTTAAACACTTTTTTGTTTTTGATGGTTGTACAAGTTATATGTGCCTTGCAACATAATGTGAACAAAAATATTGTAGTTTTATTGTGCAATTTACTAGGAGTCTTGAAAAATTAAATTTACGTTTTCTCAAAATGAAGCATCTTGGACACTCATCTTTTTTCTCCTGAACTCTTCATATGTAAACATAATATTCAGGGTTCTGTTGTCGAGTCAGATTTTGATGTCGGAAACCGTAAATACAACCTCTACACATAGGAGATCCAAGTATGCGGAAAGTATTCCAACTTCTTGTGGAATTGGCCGGGGTGGTAGTGCGCCCGACTCATGATTGGAAGGTCGTGGGTTCGATTCCCGCCTCGACCAGATATTTTTCTCGAGAGAATTTATCTGGTTGAAGCTGGGATGATTCTGCAACCGTGTTAGGAAATCACACGTTGAAAGGTAAGACCTCGTTAGTCCTTAGCTCGCACAAGTTTCTCAACAAAACTATACCGCTGAACACCGGATAACTAGCACCTAGATAACACACATCATGACCATTAATGATTTGTGATCTGAAGGAAATGTATCATTCAAAGTTTCCTCTGCTTTTACGCCCCCAAAAATGTTTTCAATTCTAGTACCGAAAGTTTGGTTTCGGTCGAGTTTTGGCAAAAAAACTGGTTTCGGTTTAGTTTCGGCGGCAAAACTACCGAAACTGCATTCGGGAGTTTTCACGCCGTGATTGGTCATTTTTGGCGCGTTGAATTTCATACAAGCGACGAAGACATTTTGCCGCGTCCACGTGCCTAATCATGTCGTGACTTACTTTGTTTATTACATAAATATTAAGTACCTATTGTGATATTAGATAACAACTTAAATAAGTGATTTTATGTTTAATATTTTTGAAAACCCATCATTAATATTCAAAAGAAGAATCTACACCTACTCAAATAAATACCTTACCTATTTTAAGTATTCTAAAGGTGCAATTAATATTTTTTCTTAAATAAGGGGTTGTTATGTTGATCATCAATAAGTGAAAATATCCAAGACTGCATAACGTTGTGATTTAAAGATAAAAAATAAAGACTGATTGATTATAATAATGTTTTCTTTATTTTTCCCTTAAATCACAATCCTTGTATGGTTTCGGCCGAAACTGAGACCGTTACCGAAATTCGGTTTCGGTCATAAAAACCAGTTTCAGTCGAACGCTAACAGCTTCCAAGACTATGCTCATGATTTATAAAATAAGCCGTGTGGACCATGACAAAAACTAAATTGGCCCAAATAATCGAGCTATTGAAACTTGTTTCAAAGAACTTGCAGCACATATTCAATTTCGGAGACCAGAGGAGAATCTAGTGTCATCAACACGTCTTGAAGAACAGCCATAGAATGGTGAAAACTGTCTAAATTGCTGAAATCCGTACGACACTTGATTTTTGGGTGCTTTCGAAAGTCTGGAGAGAGCATGAGAATTATGAACAGGTCCCATTCCAAACAGCTCATTGTTTACCTTTATATTGAGGATTTTTTTTTATTCTGAACCAGTATTGCTCTAAGTTGTATAATAATACAACATGTTACATTATTTTATGCTATGTGGTTACAAGTTGCAACTCTTTAAAAAATACCCTAAAATGTTTTATAATTTCAAATCTAATCAATGACATGAGAAATTCATATTGGTTCACTGATTAGTTCTGATAGCAAAGGTCAATGGAGATTGAGAAGTGAGGTTGAAGATTAAGACAGCTGACAATTCTTTTTAAGACTTTTTGTCAAAGTTCACACATGGCTCTAGATCAAGCAAGTCCTTTTAATACAATTGAAAACAGTGCAACACATCTAGATCTGAAATTCAGAAGAAATGCTACATATAAGTTAACTGAGATCACGCTCCAAGCTTTCTTTATGCCTACTGTAATGCAGCTTTGATAGTGAGATTTACTAAAGATGGGAAATTATTACCTCGAGTGAGACAATCTGAAGAAAGGTGATAATAAATCATGAACCAAATAAGCAATCATTTCAACTAATAAAAATCTACAAATTTTGATTTTAATTCACTCTTCAANCGTGCTATAACAGAAATAGTAAAACTGAGTACTCGTAGAGTTTGTGCAGACATCAGATTTCTACATAAGATTTTGAATAACAATATTGACTGTCCATACCTCTTGTCCAAAATTGGTTTACATGTTCCAGCCAGAGTAACTCGAAACACTCAGACGTTTGCAATTGATTTCCATAGATGCAATTATGGAAAACACTCACCATTATCTAGGATTGTATTGAATGCGAATGATATTCAAGTAGATTTGTTCAATATCTCTGAAAGTAGCTTGAAACGAAGTTTGCCATCACTTCTAAAAAACAATACATAGATGTGCACATGTATATATATAAATGTATCTCACTGCAATCATTCATTGCCTTTGGGTTTAATCTTAGTTTTTATTTCTCTTAGGTTTAATTTTAATATGGATCTTAATCATAAGTATTTATGTACACCTTTATAAAAACATATTTGTATATTGGGTGCTGCCCGTTAGTTGAATAAATAAATAAATTAACCATTTTACAAACATCTCCAATTGGAGTGGAATTATTTATACCAGCTACGAATTCCTGCCAACATTTACGTTTGTTCATTTTCATTGTATATCTAGCTCGTGCCCTCAGACGTTTGAATTCTGTCATATTTTCAGGAGTTTTGTGTCGTTTGAAAGTGTTAAATGCCTTTTTTGCAAGCTTCACTGCACTCTGACATTCATCATTCCACCAGGGAAGGGCAGGGTATTTATTGGAGGTAGAGCTCTTTCCAACATATTTTTCCGCCGCTTTCGTAATGTGAAGGATGGTTCTGATATTGCTTGTATTTGTAGGCATATATACATAGGCTATGAAAATATAGAGATCTTATGTCACCAACGTCTTCAATTGTTTGACAAAATGTCTCGATCATTTGATTTACGTCCATTCTAAGTATTTGTTCAGTATCTGACATAATGGGATCGTTTTCGATATATTTTACGAAGTTGGTCCAACCTGCTTGTTTCAAACGCCATGTGGGATTTAAATTGTAGGGTTTACGATAGTTCTCATTGTTTATAATTATTGGAAAGTGAGTGTAGGTGTAGTGTAGTGAGGAGTGTAGTGAGTTGTAGGTTGTTGATAACTCTTTCAATTTTTTGTCCCTTTACTGTGATTTTCTTAGATCCCCAAATATGGTTGTGCGCATTGAAATCACCAACAATTAATCGAGGTGAAGGAATTTGCCCAAAAAGGTTGGTAAGTTCGTCTTCAGTTGGATCCTGATTCGGAGGAATGTAGATATTACAAATATTTAATTTCATTGGCCCACAGATAACAACCGCAATCGCTTCTAAGTTGGTGGTCAATGGAATATTCTGCACCTCTAATGTATTCTTAGTGTAGATAGCTACTCCTCCACTGGCATGTCGCGTGTTTTCTCTATTTTTGAAAAAACATGTATAATTTGAAAGTTTGTGTGTTTTCTGTTTATGGAAATGGGTTTCCTGTAGACATATTATGGATGGGTCATGATTTTGTAGGATCAATTTTAGCATTTCTTGCTGGGTATAGTACCCATTAAGATTCCACTGCAATATCGAGTTGAACGTAAAATAAATGGGTTAATTGTAACGAGAAGTTTGAATTAGCAGAGTTCCTGTGATGTGTCACTGTCCTCAATTTCGCTGGATTCAGCTGCTAATTGTTTCTTGATTTTGTTTTGGATTTTTGTACATCTTGCTTTGATTTTACGATCATTTAAAAGTGGATACATCCGGTGCAAAGTTTCTATCAGATCGTCTATGTCCTTTGTGTAATTTTTTGCTACGCTCAGAGGATCCGCTGAGCCATACACGTTATCAAATATGGGTCTAGCTGGATTCAGCAGAGCTTCTACAGATTCTCTATCTTGAGTAATTTTGATTTTTTTTACCCTTATGTCTGAGTTTGGTTTGATGAATATTCGATGATTGAGTAAGGGGAGTGGTTATCTCAGAGATGTTACGTTTTTCAGAAGAGTTGTGGTATTGATTCGAATCGGTTGGTAGCTCATGGGTGGGTATTCTATCGATAGTTATGGTTTTTTGGTTGGTCATTGTTATGGTATTTAATGGTATAGAACTGGATTCTGTGGATGATTCGTCTTTGTCGTTATTGGAGTTCAGAGTGGATTCGTTGGTAACCGTGTTTGGACAATTTGCTGATAAGTGCCCATCTTGCTTACATTTGAAGCATAGATGATTGTCTAGTGAGAGAAAGATTCGGTATGGAGTTTCTTCGAAAGATATTACAATAGATTGAGGTAATGTAGCGTGGCAAACAGGAGAGATGTAGGTTTGTCGGCGAAAACTCAGGATATGTTTGAATTTGGGATCGGAGGCGCTGATTCTCAGGAAGGATAATGGAGATACCAAGTTCAAACCTAACTTACGAAGTTCGGTTTCTAGCAATTCGTGAGGAATCGAGGGACAAACATTCGATAAAATCAGTTTTTCGCTGGGCGTGATTAATCTTCTGGCTGTAAGAATTTCTTGGTTCACCACAATTTTTCCATTAGCCTTGGTGAGAAAGTCGTCTACGATTGTCTCACTGGAAAGATATACGCAAATTCTGTTGTTTGAAATGCGTGAAGAGAAAATAATATATCTTGGGTCGATTTGATTTCCTAAGTTTTGTATTTTCTATGGCGTTGAATAAGATTGCTTGTTTTTTTGACAGAAAATTTGGTGGGCTAGTAGGTGCTATCATTTGACTGACTGTCGTTGAGAAAAGTCTTGAAGCGTTCTGGGTACTCCTGTAGTCAGAAGTACCCGGGTGTTGTTCTTCATTCATAGTTTTAATTATCTCAGTACGCCCCTGTCCATCAGTTCTTAATGTACTGATAAGAACCGCTATTTGGTCTTGTCAGTAAGTATTTCGAAGAAAGGACAAATGAATATACTATAAAAAGAATAGAACTCTGATGAAGTTGGCTATGGTATGATGCAGTATACACTATCACAAATATTTTGAAATTTGAATTTTGATTGAAAAATAACAACTTTCTGTGGTCTCTGATAAGCACATTTATAGGTTCCAGATTGTATTTTTGTTTTCCCAGTTCGGACAGGATCTGAATAAACTTTATAAGTAGAATTAGGTGGCGTTTAGTATATTTTTGATTCATTTCCTAATCCTGAACATAACCTAAACCATGTTCTTAACCCACCACATTTGCCAACATTTGACCTTTACTTTTGTACGAATGAAGTTACAATTTAATTGAGAAAACTCTTACATTTTGCCATATACGAAAAAGCTTCAATACAAAATAATAATATATTTACAGAAGAATGTACAAAACTCTAACCTACACCATAAACTACTCAAGCAGCATCCAATAACTTATTCAAAGACGTAGGAAGCCAAGAAGAATTATTTTGGGAATAAAAAATGACGTTTCTGTCTATGTAACACTGCACACCACTTGAACCTATTCGATAAATTTGTTTAGCTTCATGGTATTTATTGGGAATGGGCACAAACAGAATTCCCCTTTCTTCACATTTCTTCGTTACCAGATCTTTGAAGCCTTGAGGTATTTTCGCTGCAGTCTTGACGGCTTCAGCAAGAGTCTGAAAAAAAAAATCAAGATATTGAATCAGTCCAATGACATATTATGATGTTTGCTTTCTTAGAAACCAGCATATTGCAGACATTTTTTCCAAACGAATATCAAAAATAAGTTGAAATGCAGTTCCTCATAGTATTTTCGTCATGGCCATCTCAGTCATTATTCTGCTCTCAACAGCTTATTCAACTGCAACAAGAGTATCGATAACTGACCTTTAATATGAATATAGCATGTGCACTAATAGTACAGCACAGTTGTTTGATAGCCAAAATCTGGATAAGCACGTTACCTGAAAAACATTACTATGAACTTGGTGGCATCAGGCAATTATTTACAGTTTCAGGCCTATACTGCTGAATAATTTTTGCGATCCCATACATTTTGCAGAAAATATTTCTCATTCTTAGAAGATGACAGACACTTTCTTAATTTAGCAAATAAATTACAAGAATCTTTAAATCAAGACCAGTTTTTCTGATGAGTTTTCAAAGTGTTCAATGAGTTTTGGTATTGGTCTGATGAAATCTCAGAACACGAAGCTCACATAAGACATCTCTTGATCTCGTTTTCTTATGTGTTCTTATTATTTCAGTAGTTATAATCACTTCTAGCAGCTGCAGTTGTTTAAGCAATATCTCCTGATCTTGTACTTTCTGTCTGTACGAGGTATGGTGAATGTTTGAACATATGTTCACAGTTTAACCTGATAAGTTTGTTGGTGAGAGGCATACAAGTTAGAAGTGTTTTGGGTGTTCCCGGCGATTTTCTGGTATCGAAAAAATGGATGAAAGAATTTTCATCGAATTTTGTGTAAAAAATGGAATAAGTGCTTAAAAACACTTCGCCTCAGCATATCAACAATCAATGAAAATTTTGAGGTGACTAATTTTTTTTTTAATTTATGAATTCATTTATTAAATTAGGATTCCCTAATATAGAGGTTAGCTAACTTAAAATATAATATAATCAAAAAAATTTATATAAATAATACAACTTTATATACATACATAATTTGAACTGAACAAAAAGGAATTTTTCAATTTTCATTATGAATATATTTAGAGTATAGAGTAGATTTAATTGAATCAGGTAAATCATAATCGTTAGGTAGAATCGTCGAATCATTATTAGAGAAGTTGCTGAGGATATTGGCATATCGGTTGGCTCATGCCATGTAATTTTTTTTGAAAATTTTGGGCATGACGTGTGTGGTAGCAAAGTTTGTTCCAAAATTACTTCGTTTTGACCAAAAAAACCGTCGCATGAGCATCGCTCAGGAATTGTTGAATGACGTCAACGGCGATCCAGATTCGCTTAAAAGGTTCATACAAGAGCCCAGTAGAGCAAATGTCAAGGTTTTGCTCACTGTTTTTTTTTCATTACCGTGGCTACTGCATCAGGAGTTTTTACCACATAGTCCTACGATCAATAAGGTGTATTATTTTGAAGTTATGTGCCGCTTGTAAGAAGAAATACGAAGAAAACGCCCGGTATTGTGGAAAAACAATTCATGGCTTTTGCATCACGATAATGCAGCTGCTCACTCGTCATTATTCGTCATTTTTTGGCCAAATACAACACCGTAATCATGCCTCAGCAACCGTATTCACCAGATTTGCCCCCCAGCGACTTTTTCTTGTTCTCAACATTGAAAAGACTATAAAAGGACGGCGCTAAACCAGAAAGTGCATATCAGAACTGCTTCGAGGATTGGAAAAAACGCTGGCACAAGTGTATTATATCTGAGGGGGACTAGTTTTGCATCACAATAATGCACCTGCTCACTCGTCATTGTTTGTTCATAATTTTTTGGACAAAAACAACACCGTAATCATGCCTTAGCCAGCGTATTCACCAGATTTGGCTCCCTGCGACTTTTTCCTGTTCCCAACATTGAAAATAAAAATAAAAGGACGGCGCTCAAGGACATAGCAAAAAGTAGTGTATATCAGAACTGCTTCAAGGATTGGAAAAAACGGACTAATTCGAAGGGGACAAAATAGAAATTGATGAATAAATAAATAATTTTTGAGAAAAATGAAAATTCACCTTATTTTTTGAACAAACCTCGTATGTCTTGAGAACTTCTTGTACTCAATGTTTCACAAATTTGACAGGGTTTTCTCATCTTGAATATTTCAAAGATCAAACTGATTTTTTTCATTACCGTGTCGTTTAAATCAAGCAGTCTTCATTTCAAAAATATACTCAATAGATTTGTTTGTTATTTGCTAAATATCTCAACATACAATTCGTTCATATGGGGAGAATTAACAAATAAATATCAGAAATATAAAAAACTAACTTTGATAAATTAATAAAAGTTTGACAAACAAGCAAAGTGCATACCTCGTTTCTAGGTTGTGAAGTAGGTAGTGTTGGAAGTCCATTAGCCTCCATGTTCTTCAAGTATGATATCGATTCCTTTGCTCCCGGCTGATTAGCAATATTAACAGCTCTATGCATCATTTCAAGGGCCTTATGAAAGTTTTCTGAAAATCATTTCAATGATTTATTTATTTGAATGAGTTAATCCATTTAAATACATTAAGATTCTGCACAGCAAACTGAATCATAATGGAGTTTAGATGTGAATGTCGTAATTCATTGGGAAACTGATAATGGGCTTTTATACGTTACGAAAAATAAATTATAAAACCAATATTATTCGTTAAAAATGGTTCAATAATCAGAAATTGTCACCTAAATTTTTTCATTTTGAAGGAAAATCGAAGTTTCAAAAATGACTATAACGTTACTACCATTGAAACTTAGCCCCCTTTCAAACAATGTTCCAAAATACATATGATTGTGTGAAGCACAAAGAAGTACATAAATGAATATAAGACATAACTGTTCAATTAGTACTACTCAATCAAATGTCTCTTTTGAAAAATCAAAATATAAAGTGTTTTTTTCGTAATATGAAATGCTTCTTAATTTCAGAACTAACCATCAAATCGACGTCAAAAACAAGTTGGCAAGAAAATTAATTCATACAATATGAATAAGTTTTACAATGTTGCCAAGTTTATATCAAATGTTAGTGACATCACGACCATCGTTTTTACTTAATTTTGGAAAAATTACTGACAAAAAAATTGTACAAAATTAAAGTTACTAACATGTAAGAGTTACTAACACGTAGTTTTCACCTATGCCGTTATTCCAATATCAGTGTAAAGATTAGCTTTATATGACTAGTTTTAACTTGAACAATGATAATTTAAAGATTTTTTTTTCATAGCAGACTCTAATGAACCGATATGATGATAATAATAAGTTTATTTACGGTAAAATATACAGAATATTGATTTTAAATGTTTCTATAAACATTTCTCACAAAAATAATCTTGTAAGGTAATCAATGAATCAAATAAAAAAACTTATTTTTTAGGAGTCACTGTTAGCAGATAAATCCATTTTTTAATTTTTATCAACAAAATTATCAAAAGTTTGTCATTTGGCATTTTTTATTCATTATTGTCTTTTTTTGCATGAAAATGAGAATTTCTGACTCATCTGAATCATAAATGAACTTGAGTGGAGAATAACTGAATTTTTCAAACTGACTAAACGTGAGTAACTCTTAGAATGGGCTTGTTTCATGCTATGGAAAATGATAATTGTTTGGTTATAGACTGATCGAGTTTGGGGTATATTTTACTTATCAAGCCTAATGGATTATTCAAATAATGTAAATATGCCCAACAACTTTCACTTTGAAGACACAAATTAATTAGAGCAGCAAGAAATCTTGCAAGAAAATAAAAACAAAAATGCAAAGGGCAATGATGAAATTTCAGTAAAAATTTTAAATAACCTTCCCGATTCCGCTTTGAATACACTAGTGATGGCTATGAATAAATCCTTTTCCTTTGGAAATTTCTCTCCGTGTCTAAAAAAAGCTCTTGTAATTCCTATTTTCAAAGGCGGTAATGCAGAAGATCCAAATAACTTCAGACCTATCACCATGATCTCAACACTCTCAAAAATCATAGAAAAAATGGTGAAAAAAAGGGTATTAGCTTTTCTTTATAAATACAATATATTAACCAACTATCAATTTGGCTTTCAGAAGGCAAAAGGAACAAATGACGCAATCTTTTCCTTTATTGAACATCTCTACACACATCTCAACAATGGTGAGGTCGTAGCTGCAGTGTTCTGCGATTTCTCCAAAGCTTTTGATTGTGTAAATCATGAACTTCTTTTGCAAAAGTTGAAGTACTATTGCTTTAGAGGAGTGTGTAATGACTGGTTCAGGTCTAACTTAAGTGATAGAAAACAGTTAGTGAGATCAAACGAAAAACTATCACACACTAAGGATATCTTATGGGGCGTTCCACAAGGATCAGTACTGGACCCGATTCTTTTCCTTATTTATGTAAATGACCTTGTTACTCTCTCAATTCAAGACATTTCTACGATTTTTGCGAATGACACCACGCTCCTTTGGCATGGAAAAAATACTTCTAATATGAAAGAAACTATGTCTAGTGATTTAGAAGTTGTGAAAACATCCTGTGACGCAAACTACTTGTGCTTTAATATTAAAAAAACAAACCTACTCACATTCAGCTGTAACATTAACAATTTATACAACATATTTCGCTTTGAATAAAAAATTGGTATCAGGATGTTTATGCACTTCGAATAGTTTCAAATGAACTGAGTTCATCCACAACAAAAATGGTATATCATTCCCTGATTGAGTCCCACCTGAGATATGGTATTGCCTTCTGGGGTTTTTACAGTCAACAACTTTTTCATTCAGTGTTTGTTTTGCAAAAGCGAGCGGTTAGATACTTATGCAAGGTGGGAGTGCGTGAATCATGCAGACCATTATTTTTGAGGGAAAAAATTCTCACTGTTACTTGTATTTTCATACTTGAAACAAAAACATAATATTGAAATGTTCAGAAATCTTGTTAAAGATGCCTTGCAACTAAAGCGTACTACAATCTTGATGAATATTACAATGGAACTTTGCTGTGATTTAATATAGATGTTTTTTTGTTGTTTATATTAACACCTACACACTATATTTTATACTGGGATATATCTCATTTTATTGCCAGGGCATGTGAACTTATGTTCAAATCGTGTATATTTGTTATTTCCATCTTTTGAAAGGGACTATACATACTATTTTGTCTACAAACTTTGTTAAATTTTATTTTCTATTGTTATATTTTATTTATTAGATATGTGAACTTAGTTTTCCTCAAATTGTGTTTCTGGGTATTTGTGTTTTTGAATTGTTTATTTTCTTTTATTCTTTGAAGTGCTATATATACCAGATTTTTTAACAAGCTTTGTCAATAAGATTGTATTTTCTTGGACAATAAAGTATATTTCTATTCTATTCGGTCCCAAGATCTCTTTATATTTGCAGAAAAAAGAACAATTCGAAAAGCAAGAATTTAAATTGGCCACGTGTCTGTTGAACAATAAAATTGATAGTATCTAGTATCTATCTAATGAATAATTACAGAAAATTTTAATTGATCGTTCATTTTATCAGGAAAAAAAGAGTATCCATATCACAATTTATTGGTTTATTAGGCATTGAAAATGTATGTCATATCGGATCCATTCTGCTTGTGTTTGCAACATTGACTTTCAACTTTTTCTTAGCTAACAGCTGGCGCATAAACGATTCGTTTTTTCATTGAGTTTAGTTTGTGTGTGTTTTAAAAGTGTTTTAGAGATATATTTGAATATTAATATGGTGCATTCTTGTGCTGATTTTAATTGTGAGGAAAGGCACAAGAAAACAGAAAGCGCATTGGTTTATATATGAGTTATTTCATATAATGAGTTTATATTCCCAAAGGATAAAACGATGAGAAAAAATGGGTGAAAGTATTGAAAAGAAAGAACTACAATCCTTCTACTCTTCCATGACTTTATAGAAATCATTTAAAAAGTGACTATAAACGAAAGGGGAACGAAAATATTGAATTTTATGACACAGTTTTTTATTTCAACTTCAAGTATACTTCACAGGAAGTATTATCTGGAGTTATTACTGTTGCTGAAAGTATGAAACAAAATGAATTAATACTTTTGCAAAAAAATCCAATGCTTTTCATTTTATTTCATTGAATTTTATCATATGAATAATGGTATTACCTCAGAAGCTTTTGTTGGATCAGTTCGAGTACAATCAATTCTGTCTATACTTGACCTCATTTAACCCTCCAGAAGCTTTTGTTGGATCAGATCAAGTACAATCAATTCTGACTATACTTGACCTCATTCAACTTTCCTCTCCAGTATTGGAAGGTTCAACAGATTACCCAAGTGAGCCTATAACGCTTGAATTTAGTAGCAATATTAGAAAGAGGTAAGTATGTAGCAATGTTTTTTTATAATAAATTGCATTTGTACAGATTGAGGATTGTAGAATAAATTGAATATTTGAAATGATTTTTTAATCCAGTTTGCTATATTTTTTTATTTTCATAACTGTATATTATTAAATAATGCATAAAATCATAGTTTAGGTAAATATTTTGTGATCTTTCGACTTTGTGTACTGATTTTAGATGAAGAACTTATTTCCAAACATGATTTTTCATGTACATTTTATTCCATGTGGAGAATTTTTCATTAATTGAAACGTTAACGGGTTCACATACACTTCCATAATTAAATTAATAATTATAAGCTTCGTAAATTTTACAATTTGGCAATGTTGATTATTTCTATTGTTCCTATTGGTCAATCGAACAAGAAGCGGGAATAGGCCCGTGACGTCACTGGCCTACTAAAATCGATTTTTAATAATTAATTACGGGAAAACTACGGTACTTAGAGAGTTGAAACAAAGTGCACTGTTTTTCAATTTGAAATTTCTATCAAGTGAACTATAAACCAAAAATCATGAAACAAGCCGATTTGAATGGGATTATTTTTTGTAATGATACCTTTTATAGTGGGCTGATTGAGTAACTCATCAGAAAGCATTCTCTTCCAGCCAGAATACCATTCGGTAACTTGAGTGTAGTTCGGATTATGATTCAACCACATTGCCAGAGTCTGCAACCACCGCGGAAAGAAGAATTTATCTAGGATAAGCGTCATATTTCCTATTGATAGCATGTCGCTCCAATCCATCACCCAATTCCATGGATCTGTAAGAAAACCCTAATGAATATTTTCTATTTATAAAACGGAATAACATTTTCTCATCTGTTAGTGAGTTTATTATTATGTACTGTAAAGCAATATGGTATAATTCGCGTATGCGAGTTGAGTATGTGTGGTTGTTAGAGTTCCTTTCCATATATAAAACTAAAAAAAAAATTGTTATCTGGAAACCATGCTCCATTCAGCTTTCTTTTTCAACGAGGCACCTAACTGTAGCATAATCATGAGTTGAAAAATTACATAGATTCAATGATATCAAAGAAATGAGGGTGTCTTTTGAATGTTATTCAAAATGGTGCAGACCTAACCAACATGAAATGCATAAAAGTAAAGAAATATTGATTTCATAAACTACATCTTACGATTTCATCTTCATGAACTTTATTTTCAGAAAAAAAATCACTGGGTGACATATTTTTTGAAAATAAAGATTGTGAAGATCAAATCGTTTAATGTAGTTTATGAAATTATTATGGATCCTCATCAGGCAACGGCCGAATAAATCAGAAAAACAAATAAGCGCGACAAATTAACAAACCCATGTTAGGTAGATTGTAAAAATGAAATACACCTCTCTGTAAAATTCGACATTCATGAGAGCATGTCATCGTATACAAAATACAATTTAGAGGCATACCTGAGATGTAATGGTTCTAACGACTCATAATTTGAAATTTATGAAAAAGTATCTTATTCTAGATAATCAGAAATGTAATCCATTAGTTTATGCAGTCAAAAACCCTGGAAAGATTAAGAAATAATGTGGCAGCCAACTCTTTTTCATATACACCTCTTCAAGACAATTGAAAATGGCATCTGTGGTGTTTTTTAGACATCCAAGTCACCTAATCCACATGCATAACAAGATTAACGCAATCTAACAGTTTTATCAACATTTGAGTTTCAATAGATTTTTCGTTCTCAAAATTTATATTGAGATCTCCAATGCTCACGTAAAAGAACAATCTTTAATAATTGTTGCTGGTCTCATAATACAGTTAACACATTTTCCTTGTTTAAAAGTGACTGAATATTCAATAAGACCATTGATAATCATTATTGTGGTCTGTTTCAATTTGAATGTTCAAGTTCCAAGCGATTTTCAATTAAGCTATTTGAACAAACTGTCCCATTTAATGTCCTTCTCATGGCCGCATTCTCAATTTTCTTCATGATGCTGACTTCTTTGTGTATTTTTCGAATCTGCACGAGTGTTTTTCTTGCATTTCACTATTCCAAGTAGTTCGGATGTTTGATCTTTCATTTTCATAGACTTCTGGCTCATATTTTTTCTAATGGTATTACATATATGCCATTATCCTATTTTTAATAAGTCTCGATAATATATTTTCTGAATTTTCTGTATACATTTTATATCGTTCTGCTGAGTACCAATGTACGTGAACTGTATTTGCTGTGATATATATTTGAATGTTGTCCTGTTCGTGCTTGTTGAGCATTCGAGCGACTCGTCTCTTCTCTAGCACTCTCGACCTTTGAGCTTTCCAGGTAGCCTTCTCAATTTTTTATTGAGTTTGTCATATTTGTTTTGATTTTTTTCTACTTCTTTTTGGAGACAATTGTTCAGTATAGTCAGCTCTGTAATTTCTTCTGTTCGGCTTCATGTACCTCATCTTCAAAATTAATTGCTTTTCTTTGTAGCTTGGCAATAAAAACATTAATAAAATAAAATAAAAAAGCACTAATGCAAACATCTGTCACAGTGGAGTTTCAATTTTGACAGAGGAATACCAGTCACTTCATAAGGTGCACCTTTTGCCATTCTAGGAGAGCATGATATTGGGCTATTATATAAATAATTAGTTTGATTGTATGGAACAACGAAAATTACAGGGTTTCATGTACTTTGCTTTGGGACTCAATTTATGATAATTTAAAAAAGAAATCAGCAATGTTATTGTAAATTTCTTTAGTATTAATAGAAAAATGAAGTAATGTTGTGTATACAACTCTTGATATTTCTTTTCAACAATATTTCTGAAACAGAGTTTATGTAAATCAAAAATTAAACCGGAACCAAAATAGATAATTTTCAAACAAACTAGCGTCTTTTCATAAACACACAGACTGTTTTGCGTTAGATAAATAACTTTCTAACCGTCTATGAATAATCCCTCGAATACCAATGCAATTTATCACCGTTTTACATTTTGAAATCATCACCCACTAAACTGCATGTATTAATCTTCGAATAAATAAAGCAATTATTTATCACTGCTTATCTCAATTGAGTAAATGTGCAAGAAACAACACGCTTTTGAATTGAAGCGGATTTTTTTTTTTGTTAGGAGTGATTAATTTTTGGGAAAGAAAGTTTTTGGCTTTCTAATACTCCATATTTTTTTTGTATCAGGATGGAGTAGTAGAAAGCCAAAAACTTTCTTTCCCAAAAACACGCTTTTGTTTTGTAAGCTTTTCATTTGGATGTTTCACTCAACGTTTTAGTGTTCTCGATTCCTTTGCTCCCGGCTGATTAGCAATATTAACAGCTCTATGCATCATTTCAAGGGCCTTATGAAAGTTTTCTGAAAATCATT